TGGGTGGCAGCAGCGGCGGCGTGGAGACCGCGGTGGACTTCTACGGGCGCACGTCGCCCGGCCAGTTTGGAGCGCTGGGGCCTTGCTACAATCCTGGCGGGCAGCTCGGAGTGGGCAGCGGAGGCACCTACCATGCTCGCCATGCCGCCGCCTATCCTGGTGGGATGGATCGGTTCGTGTCCGCCATGTGAGCCGAGCGTAGGGACGAAAACTCACAGATACCTCGGCTGTCCACACGAACTGTTTTCCCAGAGACCAGAGAACAGGACTGGAGGGAGGACCCCGTTGGGACCCACATGGAAGGGATCCAGCCGGCCGTAGGCTCAGTCTCCCGGCGCATCGGGATACACCGGGTTTACTTTGCAAATGGGAGGAGGGCGAGGCAGCCAGAGCCCTTGGACTGGCCCAAGGGACCCTCGATGGGGCAAAGCCCCAAAGGACCTGCCTTTCTACCGTTTTACCAGCGTGGTGTCTACACCAGCGCCCAGGGTTCGCATTATGAAGAGTCACTTCGCTTCACTCTTCCTTGTGCTGCTGAAAACTCGGACCTTTTTTTTACAGAGTTTCAGCCTCTTGTGCCTTTGACTAGTTAAAAGGCTCTGACAGCGCCTTTCTTAAAGTGAGGAGGACAAGTTTGCAAGAGAAGTGGCTTTTTGTTTGTTTGCTTGCTTATGGGAGAGATCTCTGCTCCTATTGACCTGGGCTGGTTTTCCCTGCCTCTAGAACTGCAGACCTAGCCCTGAGTCTGAATCGTGCCTGTCTGCTTGCCAGGATGACCCAGTCTGCTCACCTGAACCTTCTCTTAGTACACAAGAGAGCTGCAGGGCTCTATCCCCACCCCCTTCATTATCTTTAAGTGCCCCATCTTCTCGGATGCTGGCTGCATCCGTGGCCACCCAGGGCCTCTGCATAGCCCCCCAAAGTGCTGTTCTAGGGAATGGAAACAGAGCCATGGCAAGCGTCTACCTACAGTCCCAGGATTCGCTCCAAGCAGCGATTTTTTCATAATTTATTGAACTTGTGAGCAGGCTGTGCTGGTCACTTCATAGCTATTACTGCCGGGTCATAAATTGGTTTTCTGGTAAGGCAGATAGAAACACATTTGTCCCTTGCCCACTGTTTTTTTTTTCCTCAAGCCCCGACCCAACGGGTGAACTAAAGTTCAAGGAGATGAGAGGACTCAGGGGAGACACTGGTGACAGCTTTCAGTAGTTGGGGTTGGCCCTCCCGTCCCAGCATTCTCTTCTTCGACACCTCAGCAGTCTCCTCATGCAAAAAGGAAAGCGAAAAATTAATCTGGGCGGCCACTGAAGTAAGTTTTAGAAAGAAACTGGATTTTTTTTACCTTTTTTTTTTTTTGTATGTTTGCTTTGAGCAGCAGGCTCACTCAAATCAGAGAAAGTCCAACAAGTTTCCTAACTTTCTCTTGAGAAATCTTGTAAGTTTCCTTCTGGAGCAAAACCTGCCAGCTAAATATTTCAGAGGCTCCATTCACAGCTTTCAGATACACCTGAGTGTTCAGATGAACTGTTTTAATAAAATATTTGAGCGAGTGAGTTCTGGCAAGAGAAACTCAGCCTCTTTCTGTGCAGTCAACTTTGTAGGGAAGGGTGGGAGGTGTGAAAAAGACTATGAAAACCAAGAGTAATTGGAGTGGGAGAGGACTGAACTATTCTGTCCACAAAGGCATGTGAACTTAGTTCAACCCACACAGGGATTTGTCTAAATCAGTGCTCTGCAGTAAAAATATAATGCAAGCCACACATGTAAATTTAAATTTTCTAGTAGCCACATTAGCAAAGGAAAAAACAGGTGACATTAATTTGGGTAACATGTTTAACTTACTATACCCAAAATATTATCATTTCCACATATAATCAACATAAAAATTGTGGAGATGTCTTCCTCTTTTCTCGTATGAAGACTTCAAAATTCGGAGTGTATGTGACACTTATGACTTATCTAAATTTGGACTAACCACACACCAAGTGCTCACAGCAACACGCCTTGGACAGTGCAAGTCTAAGTGCTGGTCCTTCCGGCTTTGGTGGCGGTAAGTGACCACCTAGAGGTAGGAGGAGGCTGGAGGGCTGACCCTGCCTAGGTCCAGATTCCAGACCCAGCCCTGCGACCTCGGAAGAGTGGGGGTGTCAGCCGCCTTTCTCTCCCCGTGAGACTTTGCGGGTGTGGAACTCAAGGGTTCCCGTGAGCAGCTAGTCGGGAGGCTGGCTCCCCCAGGCGCAGAGGTTCGGACGCCTTGCCTGGTGGGCAGGAGCAGGAAATCGAGAGTCCTGCATTCGGGAGTGTTGTCCTGGCTGGGGAGAGCCCGGCCGCTGGGTTGGAACGGGAGAAGGGCGGGCTTTGCAGTTGATGCGCGCGGGAGGTGAGCCCGGCTGCTTCCTAATGACCGATTCGAGTTCTCTGGCAGCGCCGTTAGCCTAGAGTCCCTTATCCTCTAGGATTCTCATACTGGAAATGGGAATTTGTGACTGCTACCTCAGAAGTTCCTCCTAAAGATAAAAGACACGAGAGAAAACGCTTTGAGACCTGTAAAGCGCCGGGCAGGGGAGGGCGGAAAGGCTTCCAAACAAATAAGTGCCGCCTTGTCACGAAGCCTCCGGGCGCGTCGCGATACAGCCCTGGGAGCCAGAAAGATGGGGTGGGAAAGAACGGGAATCCTCGTCTTCCGCCCTCCTTGTTGTTTGGGCGACAGGTGAGATTATGCCAAAGGCGAGGGTCCGCGCGGGGCGAGGGGGACGGGAACTCCTGCGAGGGCAGGGATCGAGGCGCCAAAGACAGAGCGACAGCCCTTCTTGGCCTCCCGCTGGCCAACGACACCAAAGCTCGCCCCCCCCCCCCCCCGCCCCCCGGGTCTGGTCTGGATGGAGAGCGAGTGCCTCTCCCGCGGGGTCGCGGGCGGACTCTCCAGCCCGCCTGACTCCAGGGCCTGGAAAGCATTCCATCGCCGGCCCTGGAACCTTCCAACTTGGGGAATTTCCAAGCCGCGGGAGAGGACCCCATGTGGGGGGGGGGGGGATGCCCATCCACGCATCATCTGAAGTTTCATATACTGTTCATGGAATGCATACCATACCATGTTTCAGAAAAACACAGATCGTCCTTCCACCTCAGAACAGAATCACACCTAAACTAAATGATACAGATTCTTCGCATGCTCATCCTTAAGGCCCTCTGGGTAGAATCTCCAAAATTCTAAGGGTGCC